GGCCACCAGCCCTGGAATCATAACAGAAGGGGCAAGACCAAGCAAGTCCCTATTGCCTTGAGTGAGTCCTGGGAGAAAGTGGTTACTGGGGTAACCACAGCTTGTGCCATTCTTTATAGCCCCAATGCCATCCCTAGGTTTGCACCTAGAAGTTTAGCCAATTAATTGTGTGCATGGTTGTTAAGATGCTGGTTTGAAAAAGCTAGTAGTGCTTAAACTCGTCCTTCCATTCTTTTATCTTGTCCTTCGACTTCTCTTTAGGGAATGACTGAAAATTGCTGGTTCCATTTTTACCCTTTCAGTGCCAGTGCTAAATTACCCAGTAAGTCAGAAGTAGGCATGTGTCTCCAGGTAACCCAAAAATGTTTGAGAAACTTAATACATTTTTCTTTTTCTTTTCTTTTCTTTTTTATTTTTTTTGATACGGAGTCTTGCTCTGCCACCAGGCTGGAGTGCAGTGGCATGATGTTAGCTCACTGCAACCTCCGCCTCCCGGGTTCAAGCAATTCTCCTGCCTCAGCCTCCTGAGTAGCTGGGATTACTGGTGCGCGCCACCACACCCAGCTAATTTTTGTATTTTTTAGTAGAGACGGGGTTTCACCATGTTGGCCAGGATGGTCTCAATCTGTTGACCTCGTGATCTGCCCACCTCAGCCTCCCAAAGTGCTGGGATTACAGGCATGATCCACCATGCCCGGCCTACATTTTTAAGATATCCAAAGATTACCAAAGTTATTATGGGAAAAATCAGAACTTCGTAGGATTTCTTTACTTCACAGAATTTTAATTTTGAATTACAAATGCAAAGGAAGGAGGAGAATCATAATCTTTTCAGGGGTTTTTTAAGGGTCTTAATCTGGCCTGATATCCCACAAAGGGTCTATCTAGAATGCCCTAGGGGAGAAGTGTAGGGCTGCCCACAAGACCCACTGGGGAAGAGAGAATTGTAATCCAGGCATAAGAAAGTGTCTCTGGCCAGGTGTGATGACTCACACCTGTAATCCCAGCACTTTGAGAGACTAAGGCAGGAGGATTACTTGACCCCAGGAGTTCAGGACCAGCCTGGGCAATTAAGTAAGACCCCCATCTCTACAAACAATTTTTTAAAAATTAGGTCTGGTGGCATGCACCTAAGGTCCCAGGTACACTGGAGCCTGAGGTGGGAGGATTGCTTGAGCCCAGGAAGTCTTGGCTGTCAGGAGCCATGTTCACACCACTGCATTCCAGTCTGGGTGACACAGCAAGACCCTGTCTCAAAAAGAAAGAAGGTGCCTTCATCTCTGAAGCTCAGAAGCCTGACCATTTTCTTGATCTTTTACGTGGAAGCTTATGGACATTGTCTTCAAGAAGTTATTTTGGGCCGGGTGCGGTGGCTCACGCCTGTAATCCTAGCACTTTGGGAAGCCGAGGCGGGTGGATCACGAGGTCAAGAGATCGAGACCATCCTGGTCAACATGGTGAAATCCCATCTCTACTAAAAACACAAAAAATTAGCTGGGCATGGTGGCATGTGCCTGTAATCCCAGCTACTCAGGAGGCTGAGGCAGGAGAATTGCCTGAACCCAGGAGGCGGAGGTTGCGGTGAGCCGAGATCGTGCCATTGCACTCCAGCCTGGGTAACAAGAGCAAAACTCCATCTCAAAAAATAAAAATAAATAAATAAATAAGTTATTTTGATTTCACTTTACACAAATAATATACGTATATATTGTCCTTGAGGTGCATTTAATTTATAATTTATACTTAAAATCCCCTTTGACCAATACTATCAATCCTAGGTTTCTCCTCCACTTCTCAACCTCTGTTGTCACTTTGTGTCTCCTTCTAGTTGTTGTTGTTTTTTTTTTTTTGGTGATATTTACCTATTTGCATATATGTCCATATGTATAGTGTAGTTTTCTGTATTTCTGTAATATAAGTGCAGTCATTATGTATTGTCCTGCAGATTGCCTTTTGCCCCAGCAATAAGTCTTGAGACTTTTGTGTTACTACTGGAGACCAGCAACCCACCAAACTGGTATACAGAATACTTCAGAGTAGAAACATTTGAGTTACAGAAGATGCAGAGAGAAATCTTATCTGAACTTCCCACATCTGACTAAAGCAGAGCTTTACTAGCATCATCTGCCGGAACCCACCCCTTCCCAGGAGGTCTCTAGTCAGGGAGGCATTGACCTTGGGCACTGGGATATTCCGCCCCCCCAAAAAAGGTATAAACAACCCCAACAAAACTTTCCATCATTTGAAGCCCTAAATTCCCCCACCTGTAGTAAGCTGTTACATATATATCTCGATTTCAAATTTTTTTTTAGATTTAGGAGTACATGTACAGGTTTGTTACATGGGTATATTGTGTGATGCTTATGTTTGGCATGTGAATGATCCTGTCATCAGATAGTGAACATAGTACCCAATAGTCTTTCAACCCCAGTAGTCCCTAGTAGCTATTATTGCCATCTTTATGTCTGTAAGTGTCCACAGTTTAGCTCGCACTTGTAACGTGGTATTTGGTTTTCTGTTCTCACATTAATTCACTTAGGATAATGGCCTCCAGCTGCATCCATGTTGCTGCAAAGGATATGATTTTATTCTTTTTTATGGCCGTGTGATTTTTTTTAGCCTCTAGGTATTCAGGGAGCTACTCTCTTTAAGGTACCTTCGCATATGTAGTACGTTTTTCTCCTGTTAATCTGCCTATCGTCAGTTAATTCACAGGCCACTTGCCAATTGGACCTAAATTGGTAGAGAAGTTTTTCCTCTCAACAGTTTATATAAATTTACCTTATTAATTTTAACTGCTGCATGGTGTTCCACAGTTAGAATAGGTTGGAGGTTTTTCTTTTTGAATTTCCTTCTATAAACCAAAAATAAAATTCTAATCTCTCCAACCGACTGAATGGACCCCGTCAGCAAAGGGGATCCCAAAAAAGCCTGAAAACATTCAGGCCGTGACAGGAAGAGGGGTGGTCAGAAGTTCAGGCCATGTCAGGAAGAGGGGAGGAGGGTCTCATTATATACCTTCCTTTCTTTGGAGTTTAGACCCAACTGACCAGCATTAACATTAAAACAGAGATTTTAAGACTGACAAAACAGACTCTTTGTAGCAATAAGATATCAGATTCCAACTTGACTTGTATAACATCTCATGACAGACAGCAGGTCCTAAAGGAGATCAACGTATTTTACCCCAAAACCTATTTTTTTTTTTTTTTTTTTTTTGAGACAGAGTTTCACTCTACTGCCCAGGCTGGAGTGCACTATTACGATCTTGGCTCACTGCAATCTCCACCTCCTGGGTTCAAGCGATTCTCCTGCCTCAGACTCCCAGGTAGCTGGGATTACAGGTGTCCACCACCATGCCCAACTAATTTTTGTATTTTTAGTAAAGATGGGGTTTCAGCATGTTGGCCAGGATGGTCTTGATCTCTTGACCTCATGATCTGCCCACCTCGGCCTCTGAAAGTGCTGGGATTACAGGCGTGAGCCACCGTACCTGGCCCCAAAATATATTTTTTTGAATGGCCCTGCAAAGCTGTCCTTTGTGGGGGAAATTTGCATTTTTTAGAGAATCTACTTCCTCTACTTTTTCCACAGAATTTGACACCTTTTAGGTCAGATAAAGAGTCTGTCACATCTATTATCTGTGAAGCTTGCTCCTTGGAGGTTTAATCTACATAACAAGAACCCTGGCTTCCAAAACAGTACCCACCTTACCTTAACTCAAGCTGACTCTTAACTCTTCAGGCAGAGCTTCATTCTTTCAACCAATTGCCAATCAGAAAATCTCTGAATCCACCTGTGTCCTAGAAACCTCCACTACCACTTTGAGATATCCCCCTATTCCAGGCCAAAACTAATGTATACCTCCCATGTAGTGATTTTTGTCTTTGCCGGTAACTTTTGTCTCCCTAAAATGTCTAAAACCGAACCATAACACAACCATCATGGGCATATATTCTTAGGACCTCTCAAGGCTGTGGCATGGGCTATGGTCTTTAAACTTGGCAAAATAAACCTCTTAATCAAGCCCTGTCTCAGATGGTTTTTGGTTTCACTATCAGTGAGTGGGTTTTTAGGTTGTCTGTAATTTTCCATTGCAAACAGTGCTGCTGTGAACATCCTTGAACATCTCTCCCTGTTTACATGTACAAATATATTTTAGAAAACAGGAATACTGTATCGTGGGTTATGTGCTTTTTTTTCTTTTAAATTGTATTGACATTGTCAAATAGACTTTAGAGTACTGATGAATGTTTAACAACCAGTCTTCCAAAAAGAGGAAGTGGGGCTGTGATTTGTAGCATTTACCAATTTCCATGGTGTAAATTCTCCCACCATGGCCAATTTCAAGCTACTAATGTGACATTAATGCACAATCAGCTCTGTGAGCTGGTATGAATAGTTCTCAGAACCACTTAAACTCAGAATGCATATAGATATTAGCAAATGGCCCAACCAATGTACACTTTCACAAGCAGTATATGAGAGTATCTATAGTCATGCTCTGTGTAGCAGTGTTTCAGTCAATAACAGATGACATGTATGACAGTTTCCATAAGATTATAATGGAGCTGAAAAAATCTCATCACTTGTATCATAACACATTATTCATGTGTTTGTGGTGATGCTAGTGTAAACAAACTACTGCTCTGCCAGACATATAAAAATATAGCACATACAATTATGTACAATACATACTTGATAATAAGTGACTATGTACTTACTCTACTGTGCTTTTTATCATTCAAGTATACTCTCTTCTTTAAAAAAAGAAGTTAACTGTAAAACAGCCTCAGGCAGGTCCTTCAAGAGGGATTCCAGAAGAAGGCATTGTTATCATAGGAGATAACAGCTCTATGCCTATATAGCCCTGAAGACTTTCCAGTGGGACAAGATGTAGGGGTGGAAGACAGTGATATTGATGATCCAGACCCTGTGTACACCCAGGCTAATATGTGTATTTGTGTCCTGGTTTTTGACAAACAATTTAAAAAGTAAAATAAATTTTTAAATTATTTTATTTTATTTTGAGACAGAGTCTCATTCTATTGCCCAGGCTGGAGTGCAGTGGCGTGATCTTGGCTCGCTGCAACCTCCACCTCCTGGGTTCAAGCAATTCTTCTGCCTCAGCCTCCCGAGTAGCTGGGATTACAGGCACTGTGCCACCAAGCCCAGCTAATTTGTGTGTGTGTGTGTGTTTTTTTAGTACAGATGGGGTTTCATCATATTGGTCAGGCTGATCTCAAAACTCCTGGCCTCACAATCTGCCTACCTCAGCCTCCCAAAGTGTTGGGATTACAGGCATGAGTCACCATGCCCAGCCAATTTTTAAAAATTTTATTAGGAAAAAGCTTACAGAATGAGAATATAAGAAAATATTTTATACAGCTGTAGAGTGTGTTTGTGTTTTTAGTTAAGTGTTATTACTGAGTCAAAAAGTTAATTACAGTGAACTAAGGTTAATTTATTGAAGAAAAATGTTTAAATAAATTTAATGTAGCTTAAGTGTATAGTGTAAAATCTACAGTTGTCTACAGTAATATCCTAGGCCTTCATATTCACTGAGCACTCACACACTGACTCACCCAGAGAAACTTCCAATCTTATAAGCTCCATTCATGGTAAGTACCCTATATAGGTATACCATTTTTATCTTTTACACCATATTTTTACTGTATCTTTTCTGTGTTTAGACTGACAACCACTGTGTTACAGTTGCCTACAGTATTCAGTACAGTAACATGCTGTACAAGTTGCTACCCTATAAACTATACCATATAAGTAGGCTGTACTCTGTGATGTTCATACAATGATGAAATCACCTAACGATGTATTTCTCAGGATGTTTCCCCGTTGTTAAGCAACAATGACTGTATTTCCCTTTATCCTTGTCAGTGCTTGACAATATCATACTTTTTTGCCAGTATGATGACTCATTTTTGCATTTTTCCCAACTATTAGTGAGATTGAGCATTTTTTAATGTCTTTGCTATTTTTATTTCCCTTTCTATGCAATTATATTTTGCCTTTTGCCTGTTATTCTTTTATTTCTTGCTTTCTTTTTGAGACAGGGTCTCTTGCTCTATCGCCCAAGCTGGAGGACAGTGGCATGAGATCACAGCTCACTGCAGCCTTAACCTCCCTGGGCTCAGGTGATTCTCCCACCTCAAGCCTCCCAAGTAGCTGGGACTACAGGTGTGCCCCACCATACCTGGCTAATTTTTTGTAACTTTTGTAGAGACGGAGTTTCACTCTGTTGCCCAAGCTGGACTTGAACTCCTGGACTCAAGCAAGCCACCCTCCTCAGCCTCACAAACTGCTGGGATTACAGTCATGAGCTACTGCACCCAACCTGCCTGGTTTTCTTTTTTCTTTTTTTGAGACAGTCTCACTATCTTGCCCAGGCTGAAGTGCAGTGGCACGATCTTGGCTCACTGCAACCTCTGCCCCCCAGTTCAAGTGATTCTCCTGCCTCAGCCTCCTGAGTAGCTGGGATTACAGGTGCCTGCCACCATGCCTGGCAAATTTTTATATTTTTAGTAGAGTCGGGGTTTCACCATGTTGCCCAGGCTGGTCTCAAACTCCTGACCTCAGGGGATCCACCCGCCTCAGCCTACCAAAGTGCTGGGATTATAGGCGTGAGCCACTGTGCCTGTTTTCTTTTGTTATTTTTCTGTTGATTTGTTGCAGCCTTTGATGTAGCCTGGAAACAAGTGTCTGTCAAGAAGATTTCAATCTATTCTAGAAAGTGAAGTTGGAGAAATATCCCCAAATGTATTGAGCACTTGCTATATGAACATACCTTTTAAGGACTGAGACTAAGAGAAAAGAGTATGATTTAACACTGTGGTAGGGTCAGTTGAACACACACACACACCAGTGATACAAATAAAAACGAATTACTAGGAGTAGTGAAGAAAATAAATAAATTGCATTTTGGCTTGGTCTGCCTATTTGTCATTTTTTTCACAAGCATCCTGTTGGTCCTCATCTCCGTTGGAACACTGAGGTCATTGGATTATTCTTCTGGAGGGAATTCATCAGAACTGTGTATTCTCACTGAGGTTTCTGGGGAGTCTTCTGGTGAAGTTTATCCCTCATCTCCCCTGTTACATTGGCCCTGATCTCAAAAAGGTGGAGTGGTTTTTCTTCCCAGGCTGTTTCTTCCTGAAAATGATGGGCTGCCCCACCAGCTGACCATCCTCTGGGATGAGTTAAAGATGCACCATTTTTCTGGGGTGTGGACCATTCCCAGAATCCCTCAAATGCAGGATGCAGGAGGTAGCCAATTTTTACAAAGGCAGGGCTGTGTAGGAGGAAACGTAACATAGGTATTATCTTAGATGGGGGTGATTATTTGCTAAATGCAACTTTGCTTCTAATTTGCTGCTCATTCAATTCCTTGAACGAATATAATTTTTTTTTTTTTTTTTTTTTTGAGATGGAGTCTTGCTCTGTTGCCCAGGCTGAGTGCAGTGATGCAATCTCGGCTCACTGCAACCCCCGCCTCCCAGGTTCAAACAATTCTCCTGCCTCAGCTTCCCAAGTAGCTGGGACTACAGGCATATACCACCATGCCTGGCTAATTTTTGTGTTTTTAGTAGAGATGGGGTTTCGCCATATTGACCAGGCTGGTCTCAAACTCCTGACCTCATGATCTGCCCACCTTGGCCTCCCAAAGTGCTGGGATTATAGGCGTGAGCCACCGCACCTGGCCACATAAACATTTTTAAGTTGAAAAGATTGAAATAGCATCAGGTAGTAATGCAGATGTTATAGAGGACAACTTTCTTGCATCTTCCAATTCCTTGGTATTTTTGCCATCCCCATCCCTCATCCTCTACTGGTTTTAGTGAATTCTGAAAGGGGACTTTCACTGTCTGATTTGCACCAAGATAGAAAGTGGCTTTGTTAACATCTTAGAGCAGTGAGTAGTTTTTTTTTTTGTTTGTCTGTTTGGTTTTTTTTTTTTTTTTTTTTTGAGACAGTCTTGCTCTGTCGCCAGACTGGAGTGCAGTGGCACAATATCAGCTCACTGCAACCTCCGCCTCCTCGGTTCAAGCGATTCTCCTGCCTCAGCCTCCTGAGTAGCTGGGACTACAGGTGTCCACCAACACACCTAGCTAATTTTTGTATTTTTATTAGAGATGGGGTTTCACCATATTGGCCAGGATGGTCTTGATCTCTTGACCTTGTGATCTGCCTGCCTTGGCCTCCCAAAGTGCTGGGATTGCAGGCATGAGCCACTGTGCCTGGCCCAGAGCAGTGAGTAGTACTTAACCAGGGATGGACATCAGAATCCCCCAGGGAGTATCTACTAAACACACAGGCCTGCTGAGTCAGAGTCTGGGTGAAGGGTAGGCACATGTAGTTAGGAAAAACTCTGGAAATGATTCAGATGTGCCTTCATGACTAAGAGCCACTGCTCTGTTCTATTGCCATTCTGTGATAAGCTCGGTACAAACCTTCAGGCTAAGTGTTTGGAAACATTTACAGCAGTTTCACAGAGTATGTCTAATAAATGTAATAAGTTTGGGCTTGTACTTTGCATGTATTTTACTTCATTTTATATTTTACAAAATTACCAGTCTGATGAATTGAAAATGTTAAAAATCAGTCTTACAGTTTGAGAAGCACTGTTCTTGGCTTGCTTAGTTGTATCCAAGTCAGACGGGCACATCTAAAAATTATCTGGTATTAAAGTAAATCATTAAGGCTGGGCATGGTGGCTCACACCTGTAATCCCAGCACTTTGGGAGGCTAAGGCAGGTGGATCACTTGAGATCAGGAGTTCAAGACCAGCCTGGCCAACATGACAAAACCCCAGCTCCACTACAAATATAAAAATTAGCTGGGCCTAGTGATGGGTGTCTGTAATTCCAGCTACTCAGGAGGCTAAGGCAGGAGAATGGCTTGAGTCTGGGGGGTGGAGGCTGCAACAAGCCGAGATGGTGCAATTGCACTCCAGCCTGGAGACAGAGCAAAACTCGGTCGAATGAATGAATGAATGAATGAGACTGAGACTTCTCTAGTGCCTTAGGTTCCTTTCTAAGCAAATCAAAACCCAACTCAAAGTGAATGGTTGCAGTCTAGGAAAACAAAACTTAAGCATAACCAGTCAAAACCTGCTAACCTCTAACTAGAAACTACCAATCAGAAACCACCAACTAGCCTCTAGGGACTTTCCACTTCAACCCATCAAATTGTGGTTTGGCAATGTCCAATTCATGAATCGTGGTCTCAAACCTTTTAAACTTTTAATGTACCTAAATTTAACACTGGTTTGGTAGTCTTGTGATCTTGGTGAGTAACTCTCTGAGTATCAGTGACTCCTCTGGTGGGCCCTTGAGAGGATTAGAGATGATGAATGTATCCAAAGCACCTAGCACCATGCCTGATATTCATAGAAGTTATTGGAAACCTATCGTAAAACAGTTCCTAGCAAAACTATCTGCCAGTTAGTTGTTGAAGAACACACAGAATCCTAGAGGGTGGTGACAGCTGCATCATATTCTAACCAACCCAGAGTGCGAAGGATGACAGATTTGTGCAGCCTCTCTAAACAGTTTAACTTGGAGTTCAGCCATGGGCAAGAAAGCTTAGTGGCCAGGGCACTACAGGACAAATCTCTGGTGTGCAGACCTCTACTCAGTCCGTCCTTCCTGGCTCCTCTCTCACATTCGCCTTCCCTGGAGTCCTTTTCTCTTTTGGACCCCACTGTGCCCTCCCCCCAGGTCTCAACTGTTTTTATTTCTTACCTCTAGCACAATCATTTTCTGTTCCTGATGGTGAGAAGGGTGGGTGATGAAAATTTCTGGGTGCTGTGGTCTGGCTTCCTGTGCAAGCATCTGAAAATAAGCAGATCATTCATACTGGGCCAAATGACCTCCTGCTGGCATAGTCCTGTGCCCTTATTGTGCTAAAAGAGAATCTATCTCTTCCTTCAACTTTCATTACAAAAAGCCTCTTTCTCTAACCTTTGCCTTATGTGGGTGCCATTATTATTACTGGGAGCAGTGTTGTGTGATAAATACAGGTGCTTTGGAGCCAGCAACTTTGGATTGGATTCTGACTCTGCCTCTTACTTGCGTGGCTTAGGGAATTTTTTTTTATTGGATTCTGACCCTGCCTCTTACTTGTGTGGCTTAGGGAATTTTTTATTTTGTAGAAACAGGGTCATACTGTGTCGCCCAGGCTGGAGTGCAGTGGCGTGATCATAGCTCAAGCGATTCTTCTACCTCAGCCTCCTGAGTAGCTGGGACCCACAGGCACGTGCCGCCACACTCAGCTATTTTTTTTTTAATTTAGTGTTTTGTAGAGATGAGATCTCACTATATCGCCCAGGCTAGTCTTGAGCTCCTGGGTGTAAGCGATCCTCCTACCTCAGCCTACCAAACTGCTGGGATTATAGGGATGAGTCACCATGCCTGGCCTTAGTTAGAAGTTTTTAATTCAAATCAGTATTGAATCCCAGTATTTCCTGTAAACCAGAAGTTAGATCTAGAATCTTTATTCATATTAAAATTTTTGGCAAGAACATGTCATAGTTTTCTTGAACCTAAATTCCTACACAGATTTAACTCTAGCAGCTAACTGGCTGCTTTGCTTCATCTTCCCTCTACTCGCCTCCACTGACTGAGTCATCCTTCAGGCCTTCCTTTAGATGTCACTCTCTCAGGGAAGTTGCCCTGACCCTCCAAGTTTAGCATGTAGGTTTGTTCCTGTGATGGCTTCATGATGGGGGATTGTAATTGCCTATCTGCCATTTGGTGAACTTCTTGTAGCTCATCTCTCTTGCCCTGCCTTCCACTAATCTTTCCCTCCCACCACACACATCACAACCCCTGCTTTTCACCTACTGGAGAGGTATGCTGCCCATCCTTCAGTCCTCACCTCACATAGCACACCCTTAGGTCAGGTTTTCCATTATACAGAGCCATACTCTCCTGTGCTTTCTTTTCCCCCCATAGCATTTATCACAAGTTATTTCTGGATTTTCTTTGCTATGAATATTTGCCTTGTACATTAGACTGTAAACTGGTTGGCCTTTGCTTAATGCTGTATCCCCAGTACCTAGCATGGTGCCTGGCTCCTTGTGGCAGTTACTAAATAGTTACTGGATGATAAAGTGTGCTACTGCATTTGTTTTATCTCCTTTAGGACAGGAACTGCCTTATTGATGGTTGTGGCCTCGGTGTCTAGCTGGTACACCAGGCCCACCACAACATATATTTGCCCAGGTACACAAGTCCTTCATGGTTTGAGAGAGAAATGCAAAAATATAGGCTAGTAGGGATGCCAGTAAGAAGGAAAAATAAGTCTCTATCACCTGTGTACTATTCTTGCCAAAAGCATTTAATCAGAATCTAATCAAGCCTTTAGACCTAATTTCTAGTTTACAAGAAATACAGTGATAGAAGAACATATTTCACAACCCCTTGAAGAAGCAATCAAACACATCCAGAATGTTGGACATTTTGGAGGGCAACGAGTTTGGACAAAGGTCATAACAAGGAAAAAAATGCTAGCCAGGTATGGTGGCTCACATCTGTAATCCCAGCACTTCAAGAGGCCAAGGTGGGAGAATCACTTGAGTCCAGGAGTTTGAGACCAGCTTGGGTAACAGCAAGACCTTGTCTTTACAAAAAAATTTAAAGTAAATAAATAACTTAAAAAATTATGAGATGCAAAGATGGCTGGGCGCAGTGGCTCATGCCTGTAATCCTAGCACTTTGGGAGGTGGAGGTGGGCCGATCACCTGAGGTCAGGAGTTCAAGACCAGCCTAGCTAATATGGCAAAACCCATCTCGACTAAAAATACAAAAATTAGCCAGGCATTGTGGCAGGTGCCTGTAATCCCAGCTACTTAGTAGGGTGAGGCAGGAGAATCACTTGAACCTGAAAGACGGAGATTGCAGTGAGCCAAGATGGTGTCCCTGCACTCCAGCCTAGGCGACAGAGCAAGACTTCGTCTTCAAAATAAGCAAAAGATGCAAAGATTATTATAGATTGAGAGATTGTGGAGACACACCATCCAAATACATAATATTATCCTTGATTGGATATGGTTAGAAAAAGACAATCGCAAAAGACATTTTGAACACATTGGAGAAGTTGAAATATGGACCGTACATTAGATAATGTAATAATTGGAGTTATTGAGGCCTTGGAGGCAACACCACACATCTACAACCATCTGATCTTTGACAAACCTGACAAAAACAAGCAATGGGGAAAGGAGTCCCTGTTTAATAAATGATGTTGGGAAAACTGGCTAGTCATGTGTAGAAAGCAGAAACTGGACCCCTTCCTGACACCTTACACTAAAATTAACTTCAGATGGATTAAAGACTTAAACATAAGACCTAACACCATAAAAACCCTAGAAGAAAACCTAGGCAAAACCATTCTGGACATAGGTGTAGGCAAGGACGTCATGACCAAAACACCAAAAGCATTGGCAACAGAAGCCAAAATAGACAAATGGGACCTAATCAAACTCCACAGCTTCTGCACAGCAAAAGAAACAATCATTAGAGTGAATCAGCAACCAACAGAATGGGAAAAAATTCTTGCAATCTACCCATCTGACAAAGGGCTGATATCCAGAATTTACAAATAACTAAAACAGATTTACAAGAAAAAAACAAATAAACCCATTCAAAAGTGGGCGAAGGATATGAACAGACACTTTACGAAAGAAGACATACATGAGGCCAACAAACATATGAAAAAATGCTCATCATCACTGGTCATTAGAGAAATGCAAATCAAAACTACATTGAGATACCATCTCACGCCAGTTAGAATGGGGATCATTAAAAAATCTGGAGACAGCAGATGCTGGAGAGGATGTGGAGAAATAGGAACACTTTTACACTGCTGGTGGGAGTGTAAACTAGTTCAACCATTGTGGAAGACAGTGTGGTGATTCCTTAAGGACCTAGAAATAGAAATTCCATTTGACCCAGCAATCCCATTACTGGGTATATATATCCAAAGGATTATAAATCATTCTACAGTAAGGACACATGCACACGAATGTTCATTGCAGCACTGTTTACAATAGCAAAGACCTGGAACCAACCCAAATGCCCATCGATGATAGACTGGACAGGGAAAATGTGGCACATATACAACATGGAATACTATGCAGCCATAAAAAACGGTGAGTTCGTGTCCTTTGTAGGGACATGGATGAACCTGGAAATCATCATTCTCAGCAAACTGACGCAAGAACAGAAAAACACCTCACGTTCTCACTCATAGATGGGTGTTGAACAATGAGAACACATGGACACAGGGAGGGGAGCATCACACACGGGTTTGTTGAGGGGAAATAGGGGAGGGACAGCATGGGATGGGGAGTTGGGGAGAGATAGCAGGGGGAGAAATGCCAGATATAGGTGATGGGGAGGAAGGCAGCAAATCACACTGCCATGTGTGTACCTATGCAACAATCTTGCATGTTCTTCACATGTACCCCCAAACCTAAAATGCAATTAAAAAATTAATAATAATTGGAGTTATTGTTACTTTTTTAGATATTTAGAAAATTGTCCTTATTCTTAGAAGATGTATAATGAAATATTTACATAGAAAATGTCCTGATGTCTCCAACTTATTTTCAAATGATTCAAGAAAAATCACATTCATATATAGATAAAGCAAATGGTCAAATATTAGCAGCTGTTGAATCTGGGTGGAAGATGTGCAAGGTTTTTTGACTATCGGTTTTGTGGTTTTTGAAATTATTTTTGGTCAGATATATTTGGTAATATTTACACAGTAAAATGTACCCATTTAAGTGTAAAGTTTTATGAATTTTGACAAACACATGAAATTGTGTAATTACCATCATAATCAAGAGATAGAAGAGTTTATCATCCCTAGAATTCTCCCTTGCCCCTTTGTAGTCATCCCCTCACGCTACCTCCTACCCCTTGTACCACTGATCTGTTCTCCATTTCTATTGTTTTGCCTTTCCCAGAATGTCATACAAATGGAAGCATATAGTGTGTTGCCTTTTGAGTCTGGCTTCTTTCATTTATATATGAGTTTGCTAGGGCTGCTGTAACAAAACACCACAAACTGGGTGACTTCAAACTATAGAAATATATTGTCAGCCAGGTGTAGTGCCTCATGCCTGTAACCTCAGCACTTTGGGAGGCTGAGCCGGGCGGATCACCTGAGGTCAGGTGTTCGAGACCAGCCTGGCCAACATGGCAAAACCCTGTCTCTACTAAAAATACAAAAATTAGTTGGGCATGGTGGTGCACACCTGTAATCCCAGGTACTCAGGAGGCTGAGACAGGAGAATCACTTGAACCCAGGAGGTGGAGGTTGCAGTGAGCCAATATTACACCATTGAACTCCAGCCTAGGTGACAGAGCTAGAGTCTGTCTCAAAAAAAAAAAAAAAAAGAAAAGAAAAGAATAAAGAAACATATTGTCTCATAGTTCTGGATGCTGGAAGTTCAAAATTAAGTTGTTGGAGGGGTCATGCTTTCCCACAGGCTCTAGGGTGAATCTGTTCCATTCCCTTCTCTTAGCTGCTGGTGTCACCAGCAATCCTTGGCATTCTTTTCCTTGTACCTGCGGAACTCCAAGCTCTGCCTCTGTCATTGCATGGTATTCTTCCTGTCTGTCTCTTTATGAGGACATCAGTCATATGGGACTAAGGGCCCACCTTATTTGAGTATGGCCTCATCTTAAGAAATCTGCAATGACCCTATTTCCAAATAAGATCACATTCTGAAGTATTAGAGAGTTAGGACTTAATATTTTTGGGAGGACACAGTTCAGCCTTGGACACTTAGCACAAGATGTTTGACATTAATCTGTTTTAT